TCGGGAAGTATACGATATGCTACTCCGAAACTTAACTTCAGATGAGCTCCACATCTGTAAATACTATACTCAAATACATCTTCCAAAGGACTACTGGAAAATGCCCGACATCACCATTTAAAATTGGTAAACCGAGCATCGAAGAAAGTAGATGGAGTTTAGGGTTAGGATCAAGGTTATACATATGCATTGATAATCTGCGATTCGCCGTCACCATGATCGATCCAAACGCGCCAAAATGACAGACGATCAAATCCGTCAATAAGCTTCATGTCGCATCATCGCCGCTTCTTAGATCGAAGGCAAGAGAGAAAAGTGAAAACAAAGAAGTAGAAATGCGAGGTAGATCAGGAAAAACAAATCATCGGCATTGGAGAGGAGAAAGAGAGAAGGGAGAGGAGGCGTACCTATCTCGTTCCCCCCATTGTGCCTCGAACTAACTGGGATGGAAGTCTCTCGATCCCGGGAATTTATAGGCGAGCCGCACCAATTTTAAACGACTTGGGTCGGGTTTAAAGGCCCTCGACTTGTCTTGGTCCGTTTACCTGGCCCGGTCTATTTGCCTGCCCGTTAGCCTGTTATACTATTCGTTTTGCTGATGTGGATGTCTTTTAGTTTTATATTTAAAAAATTACAACATTATCTCTACCCACCACCCCATCCCCATCGGGTGGGTCCCACGTGTTCCCTTGCCTCGCTACCATCTCTGCACGGGTGTGAAGGACGGCAAGTCTGAGGACTTCCCTTTCTTTTTCTTCATCCCTCTCGAATAATTCGTTTTCCCTTTTTATCCCCATCTTATTAACGGCCTTTGATACATCTGCTTTTATTAAGCATTTATCATAACAAAAGTTTCAGTTCTACGGCACAGTTTTTATTTGATTTCTGCAAATCTACAATTTGATGCTTTAAAATTAACTCAAAGTTAATTTCTTTTTTACTTCCATTTAGGACCAGTTTCTGATTTAGTGTTTGATTTTCTACTTATCTGTCATCCAAAGAAAAAAAAAAAAAAAAAAAAAAAACTAAAAAACTAATTTCTCACCAAAATATCAGTCAAGATGGAGGTATAAGAATCCCACCCCAAAAATAATTTGGCTACTAGTGGTAGAAGCTGAGCACCATACTTTGTTTCTGAAAACAAGAATTGTCACCCTCAAACTAGTTGACAAGTTGAATAAAATCAGTCAAGATGGAGGTTTAAGAATCCCACCCCAAAAATAATTTGGCTACTAGTGGTAGAAGCTACCATATTTTGTTTCTGAAAACAAGAATTCTCACCCTCAAACTAGTTGACAAGTTGAATAAGATGCCATCCTATAGACTCTTCCTATCAACCATAAACTGAGCATCAAAGAACCACAAACACATAGTAGGTTCCCCTAGGAAGACCAACACAGCATCACAAATTAGAAAAAAGAGAACTAATTTACCAAGAATCTATCGTGACTGGAGGGGATCATTTATGAACCATTTGCAGGACGAAAAAAAAAAAAGACTTAATCCACTTATCTAACATCACCAACTAAGAAAAACTAGTGTTGGATCAAGATACCATATCAACCTTCACAACATTTTGAGTAATTTGATGCAAAAGGTTTTCAATAACAAAGGATTTGAACATTTTGAAAATTGTCCTATATAATCAAGATGCCATATGGGCCTCTACAACAGTAATAAAGTAATTTGATGCAAAATTATTCAACAACAAAGGATTAAAATATTTTGAAATTTTTGTCCAATATAATTTACATACAGTAGGTGAAAGCAGAATACAGCTGATCTAAACAAGTTACTAAAAGCAAACCATCTAATAAGCGCACACATCCTACTAATAAGCAAACAAGTTATTAGTGATTATGTCATCCAGCCAGGTCAACTTGTTGAAGTCTTGATACCAACCCTACCTGTAGTAAGCCTGTTGATAGCCTGGTGCCACTCCATTGTTGTATCCTCCCAAGGGATTGTAATTTCCATAGACTGGATAACTCATAGGTGGTGAGTGGTATGGCGCACCAAGTGCGACAGGGCCTACTTCGGCTGGATATCCATAGGAGTCCCTGATGACTGGAGGGCTCCTGCTACCATAGACACCGTGTCCTGCTGGACTATCATAAGGATAAGGTGCTGCCGCAGGGTATGTGGTATGGGCAGATGGTGACCGTACAAAGGCAGGAGCAGCAGGGGAGGAGACGTGCACAGTGTTTGTTAGCCGACCAGCCTTGGCAGGAGGCATTGGTCCCCCATTATTAGCTCGTGTTCGCTTGTTGGCAGGAGCTGCAGGACCACCACCAGAAGGTTTTTTCTTCTCCACCTTGGTCTTCTCCGATTGTTCAAGTCGCTTCTGAAGGCTCTCTAATGGAAACTCGGCTTCAAGCTTGTGTTCTTGAATACATTTTATAGCAGCCCGAATAATTAATTGACTGTTCCTTGCGGCACGTGTAATTCTGCAATAGAACAGAATGAGCACCATTGACTTCTACATACATGTCAAACATTAGACAAACTACAGAATCATTACCAAGATTAGGGATCCAAAAATGTCAGTGTAAGTTATACGATGTGACAAATTAAAAAGTAAAAAAAATATCAGGAATGAGTAGGTTACCGTGGTTTGCCCACCACCGTTGTGATCCTCAATGGTTGAAGTTGCTTTATTTGAGTCTTTCAGGAAGGATTTTAGCAGTGAAACAGGAGTAAACTTGTCCTGAAGGCCAGCCTCATAGGCAAAGTTTATTGCATCCAGCTGATGTCCCTTACTAATTAGTTCCTCGA